TGCTATCGGACAAGTTTATTGTGGTGCGTGTAACGGGGTTAATTAATTTAGGTAAGATCATAAGATTTCGTAATAGGTAAACAGAATCAAAAAATTTTTTTTATTTTTTCCCTTGATAACGGCGGATAGTTTTTGGATATGAGTTTACTGATTTAGATAAGGCTTTCGGATATCTTTTTCCGGGAACACCAGATGATGATTCGAAACCTTGTATTTTTCGCCAAGAATTTCATCATTACCATCATCGTACGAAAGATGTATAACGGTCATGTGATGTGCAACGGTTGTATTAGTGTTTACAAATTAAAAGCTCTTGTGCGCTGATTGATGCACGACCTGTGCGACCTGTGCATGGTTGACCCTTATGTACTTCAGGACCTGTGTTACTTGTTACTCCAGATCATTAAGATTATTTACTCATTTAAGATGATTTCGGCTTATCTTCCAAGTTGAATTTGTAATTTGTTAAGGTTACAACAAAAAAAAAAAAAAAAATCCGTTTCATTGAGATCCTTACATTTCCTTTTTTTATTTTATAATATTTTTTGATACATCTATAGTAAAACAAAATAACAATTATTATTATTATTATTATTTTCCTTTTTCATTCCTAATCACCTTATGTTCTTTTTATGGAATATTTTTTTTTAAAGAAAAAATTTTTATTGTGCAAATGATCAAATTCGGTTACATCATTAATTTTAAAAAATATTAAAACACGTGTTTTGTGAAATTTAAATGTAACCATAAAAACTTTCTAACGAAATTAATTAAGAGCCGATCATTTATTGAATTAATAAAGAATTATATAGCATAACAAAAAATTAAAAAAAAAATGAAATAAAGGAGTATTATTCAAATACTAGGCGCATTATTAAGTAGACTAAAAAGATCTAATTTTAAAATAAAAAAATTATATTTTCCTAAATACTTTTTTAAAAATTAATTGATAAAATACTAATTAATCCTTTACAAGAAGAATAAACCAAAGGAAGCGATTGCGGCAACACCGAATAAACCACTTTCGATCTTGGCGGCACCTGACTTTGGAGTTGTGACGGGGGAGCTGGAGCCGGAGCCGGAGCCGGTAGTTGGGTATTTTGGTGCACCGGTTGGTTGTGAGTACATGCTTGCTCCGGCTGTAGCAGAGCTAAAGGCATCAGCAATTTTTGATACGATATTTCCGCTTGGGACTGCGCCTGAGGGGGCTGGAGATGATGGAAGGTTTGGTGCTTTTCCGTCAGTTGGTGCTTTACCGTCAACTGGTGTTGCGTCTGGGGTGATTTCTGGTGTTGCGTCACCTGATGGTGTTGCGGAGGGTGTTGAACCATCGTCTTGACGAGCTACAAGGCGTGCTATTAAATAAGGTTTTGTTTGTTTGTTAATATTGTTAAAGTTGATATATGGTAGAAAATATCATTAAATAATAGTGATAATGGATTAATATTTACCTTCTCCAGCAAAAGCCGTGCCAATTATGAGGAGGGCGACAATGGCGCAGATGACTAATTTGGTGAATTTAGACATTTTCGATTGATTAAATAAAGATTTATGTATGTAGGTTTTATTATTGTTGTTATTATTTTCTTCTTTTTCCTTTGTAGTATTAAAAGGATTATTTGGTATGTTGCTTTTTTTTTCCCTTTGACACCGGGCGTATTTATATCAAAAATTCCGAAAATCAGATCCCTTTTCCGAACGCGTTGGATCATCTCTTCCTCTCCACATTTCAAAATGTTTATAATTCAAACTTTTTGGAGAGAAAAAAGAAATCCTGGAACGTGAAGGTGCTGGTTATCATCTAGTATTTTTTCATATTCATATTAAAAAATTTAAATTTACTTTTATGTTAAGAAGGTAAATCAATAAGAATTAATGATGTTCTTTAAATGGGTAAGTTCCATCAAAGCTTGGCTTCCGAGACTTTCAATTTAATGAAAGTTATTGCTATGTTCATCCCGATTTAAGTTGAATTGGGAAAAAAGCTGTCGATTTAAAATAAGGAACCGGCCGATCAACCTCTTTTTTTTTTTTTTTTATTTTTGTTTTTTCCCAAAAATAAAAAACATGATCTCCAGAATGAAAGGTAGCTCCTGCATTCTTATAATAACGTTTTTCTTGGCTGTGTAAAATTATTTGATAAAATTCCTTTTTCTTCATTTAGCAAAATCCCGGTTATTTTTTATAGCGTGATTCGGTGCAAACGAATAAAGATGGTTAAGATTTTTTTTTTTTTTTTGTACCCGATTGAAAATTCCTTGGTAAAACGTTATTTTAACGGGTTAAATCCAAAAGTTATGTGTTTCAGCAAAGGTGATTTTCTTTGCCCGATTAAGTTCATTCAAGGAATTAAGGATAAATTATTTTCACTAAAAGCAATTCCAGGTAACTGCCAAAGTGCCAGGATCGGGTAAGTCAAGGGGTGCGAGTGTCCCAATTTACCACCAACAATCCATTACAAGAAAATTAAAATACTGTATATTCGAACCTCTTGTTTTGAACCTTGTATTTTTTATTGTTTATTTGCGTTGAATTTCTCTACGTGATTAATGATTTCATTATACTCACGTTCTAATTATTATTACTTTTGTTACTTACAAGTTGATATCATCATTTTATTCACGCGATTAAATGACCAAAATGAAAAAAAAATGAAAAAAGTGATCATCATTGATCGCTACTATTTCTAGTTCATTGTATTCATTGTTCGTCTCTAATGTAGCACCGATCATAATCTTCACATGGTATTACCAACAAAAAGGAATTGTTCTGATATTATTCTCTGGTTACAACATGAATTAGTATGAATCCCTCTTTTCGTTTACGATTAAGATTCATGCAAGTAGGAAAGAAAAGGAAGGAATTTAATTTTCACTCGATTCGCTCCTTTCCTTTTTCTTATTCTTTTTCTTCTCTTCCCCTTACGTACGTATCGAAAAGAAGAAAAAACCGGTTACATTTTTGAAGATTACATTTCTGTACGATATTATAAATGACGATGCGGATGTCACGTAACACGCGTACTTATTTGCTATTCTTTATTCGTATTGATGCAATTACCATGGATTAAAAACAAACAAAAGCTACTGTATTATGATTTCACAAACGTTAAAACTAATGCATGTTTAAAAATTTTGAACGATGAGAGATTTTGGTTAAATTGATTTTTTTTTTTTTCAATTATAATAACTTAATATTTATTTTTATGATTTTTTACATTATTTTTATTTTTATTTTTTTATTATGATTATTATATTTTAAAAAAAAACGGAAAAGTTTTTTTTTAGCTCAAAAATGTTTTAGGGAATAGTATATTTCTAAATATAGGCTTGAAATCTATAAATATTACAAAATGAGACGCTTATTTTGGAAGTAATTTTTACCATGAAGAATAAATGATTTAAGGTTAGATTTGAAACTTAGCCTCGTGAAATTGACAATTTATAATAATAAATAACTCATTTGACGCCAAGACAAGGATCCATACATATCATATCATATCACCAAAAAAAAATAATATTGATTTTAATTTTTAAACTTTCATTTGAATCTGAAACACCTCGTAATCATCTAGCGAAAAGTAATCCTTCACATTCCTAATCTCTTTCTCATAACAGTGCTTGCTACAGTAACATTTACGCTCCTCCCTAAAATTCTCCCCATTAATCGTAATGTCATCAAAACCAAAGGATGGTCCAAGATAATCTTCATAATTTATCGCGGTACCCGCACGTTTGACTCGACTTAATATCGAATTCTTCAGATCCTTCACATCCCTCAAAGAGAAGATGAAACTATTATTCGTCTTTCCCCACCCTCTGATCGATTTCCATCTATTCGGATTGTAACCTCCAAGTAATTCCTTGGTCCCCTTCACTTTTAGGATTACAAGAGTGTTTGATTTGTTATCACATAATTGATGAAATGTTGAAGGGGTAAATCCATCACGACTTCCTCGAAGTAACAATTGAAATTTAAAGGTTGTCCTTTCAATATCCATCAATCCAACCTCCCCCTTTCCGATTTGTCTAATCCAAAAATCGATCAATGCCGCATGTTTTTTTGTGATAAGGGTTGAATCGAGAATTCCTCGAGTGATTGGAAACACCGTAAGTTCTCCTTGGATGCTAGGTATCATACAATATCTCATCATCACCGAGTCATAGACCTTTGGATCAAAAATTTGTTGAAACGGTTGTATCCTTTCTAGAAATTGTTGACGACTCATCTCATGAAATCTGATCAATGGTAGAACTTTTTGCAAAGTTTTCCCAAGCGTTTTGAAATCGTTATTCGACCAAAGGGAAGGATCCTTTAATAATCGTGGATCTTTTGATATCCCCCACCTAATCACGAAATCCCAAACCTCGATCACATCAATCTTCAAATCATCACGTTTAAGGAATGAGATCAAGGAATCTTCGGTCATTGAGGAAGAATCCAATGATTTCAATATCAATTCTGGATTCTGAAACAAGATGCTAATACAAAATTGTTGTAAATCTTGAAAGGACTCGTGCTTGAAACTTGAATGATAAATCATTTCAAAATTTTGCCTTAACCATTCTTTATGATACGGTTTCAAATAATAGGATCGTATATAAATGACCAACTCTTTTAATCCAAGTTTTTCGGAAGCGAATAAGATTTGATAGATCTCAAATATCGTCAAATGATCCAATGGGATCAATCCGTTATACATGTAACTAAAAATATATTTTTTATTTTTTTCAAAAATTCCGTTCAAAAATGAAAAGAAAAAAAAAAAACAAAATAAAAGATTTAACCTTACCTTAGCAAAGCCCGAAAGGTTTTAACAGGGATATTCAAATCGATTCTCAAAAGGTCATCACTTTTTTCATTCCTGAGTAATTCCTTGCGTAAATAAGGAGAACGACAGTATAATATTGAGGAGTGAGCCTTGAATGAATTTTTATCATCATCTCTACCGGTTTCAATGATCACGTCACTGAATCGTTCGTCCGTGATTAGTTTGGTCAAATCATGAGACAATTGAGGGAAGAAAAGTTTCTTCGACATTTCGACCAAAAAAGCAAAAAAGCAAAAAAAAAAAAAACATAATGAGAATGATCAAATTAGTTTTCTCTCATATTTTTAAATTTTACTGATATTTGATGAAATCACTTTTGATCAGAGTACATTAAGTGGAAATGACGTCTTCGTTGGCAAGTACAAGTTTATTCCCATGAGATTTTCCTCATTCTTTAATTCTTTAATTAAATAATGGGCGAATTTTTTCCGTTTTAAAAAAAAAGAATAAAATAAAATTTTTTGAAGATTCGTTTGCAGATCAAATGAAAAATATAAAACCGATTCGACATGACGTGAGCTTAAATTATCAATTTAAAAAATCAGAATTAAATATATATTATTTCTGTACTATTAATAAAATAATTGAATATAGATACATAGATACATATATATAAATATTTAGAAAGAGGAAAAATATTTACATTTAAATCGTCTTAACAACTAAAAAATCCGAAAAACAAGTAAATATTTATGTGACATGGAGACCAATGTAGGATTTCATAACAAAAGGGATGTTTGTATGGATGGATACATGATCATACATTGATCACCATACATACATATGTACATACATACATACATACATACATGCTATTAGGTGCATGTTTATAGAATGACATCGCGTCTGGAACTTTCTTCCTATTGAAATACTCTTTTGTTTTAAAATTTTTTCTTTTTGAATTTTTTTTTGTGATTCGGTTAAAACGAGTGGAATGTTTAAGCTTCAGCAAGAGTAATTACCTTATTAAAATTTAATTAAATTCACTATTAACGAACTACTCTGGAATTTAAAAGTTGAAAAATCGGAACCCGTATTTCGGCTAGTACAAACAATGTGATGCTAGAGTCAAAATAAACCTTTCAGGTGTGCGTCAGTCAACTAATTTCACACGTAAATATCGGGATTTATTTCATCATATTCTGTGCCAATTTTTAAAATCAAGAAAAAAAAAAAAATTACTTCTAGAGTTAAATAAAAATAAAAAAGACACGTCATTTTATTTTCATCATTTACAAGTTGTGATGCAATCATCAAGAATTACTGAATATAAAAAGTTCAATTCCAGCGAAATTTAAAAGCAATATATTTACATGATGATTTCAGAGACACGTGTAAAAGATGCAAGAAAGGCTCTCTCAAAACGAAAACAAGTATGCTATATAGTTCACATGCATAAAAACATTTTGTCGCATTATTTATCATATGTTAAAATAAAAAGGCTAAGTGATAGATTATTTGATTATATATTGTTTAAAAAAGTTTTACTTTTCAATTTTTTTTCCGAAATAATGTTTTTACATTAATTTTAATTTCATCATATTTCAAATTATATTACAGGGTTATTTTAAATCTTTGTTTCGCGATTAATATCTCCACCAGATAATTTATAAAATATAAATAAAAAATTTATTCACTGATTTATTACTTACCTACCCAAGTACTACATATCTGGTTTGCCCTCCCCCTCGAATTTCTTTAATCCTACCACAATGTCTCAAAATGGATATTATGGCACGTCCGATTGCATCCATTTTAAATTTGATCTTTTGATTTGTTGATTTAAGATCTTTCTCGGTGATAAAGTCCTTGTCTTGTTATAAAGGACGATAATCATTTTAGTGAAGAAATTACATTGAAAATGACGATAAAGTGCAAAATACCTCTCGTTTCTTCATTTTCCGCTTCTTTGTATTTCTATATTTATATATATAAAGAAATTTAACTAACGTGTTTTTTTAGATCGGCTTTTTTTTTTTCTAAAAAAAAAAAAACTTACCCAGTACTTCTGTTTCATCTTATGACTTAGGGTGCTTTGTTGTGACTTGAGGATTGTATACTTTTCTTGTATGACTTTATTGAAATCGTCAATGGCCTCATTAACTTTATCGCGCGATATACGATTATTGTGGATATATCTAAATAAATATAGATCAGATCATTTCAGTAATAATGACAATAATAAGATGGATTTATATCAGAACATACTTTGGCACATTCTTGAATTCCGATACAGTAATATATGACAATCCCATAGCCACAAAATTGGTATTGCTTGTAGGTTGGGTTGATACGTAAAATGGATTCTCCTCGACTAATGGTAAATCTATTTCCTGCAAAGGATCCTGCTCATGTACTTGCCCTTGTGCGTGATTTGGTACACATTGTTGAGGTTGTTCATTCCTTTCATTCCTATAGAAAAATTATTTCAATGTATCATGATTTCTTACCAAAATTATTTCATGTATAAAATTGATACTTACGGTGGATGAAGATTTGTTTGATCATACGTCGAAGGTTCGATATTACCTGGTAAATGTTTTGATAAATGCTGACACATCCATTCTAGATGATCATGTTGTGACTGTAATTTAGCTTTTACCTCCTTTAAGCAATAAAATTGAATAAAACATAAATGGTGCATTCAAAAAAAAAAAAAAAAAACAACGCGTCTAATAAAGGGAAAAAACAAATACTTTGGCTCTCTCTAAAGCAACTTTTTCTTCTTCCAGAAACTTTGACATTTGCAAGACGCGTGTTTCAAGCTCACCAAGTGAGTCGCGTAACTCGCAAAGTATTTCATCCGTTTCTTCACAGGCACCTGCGAAAAAGTTTTTTTGAACACGTTAAATTGAACTATTATAATATAGGTAAAAATTAAATTTATTACCTTCGGCCCGAAGAAGCATGAAATTCTTAAGTTCACGTGTACGTTCATTAAAATCTTTTATCATAGCTTCCATGGTTATTTTTATTAATTGATCATAAGAAGATAAAATAACACCAGTTACTTGTTATTCACAATTTATAAAAATTCTCTGTTCAGCATTGATCACGTGCATGCAATGATACACAAACTCGCGTTTTGTCTGTATGCTGCTTTAAGGCTTCGATTGACAACAATGAATGAATTCTTTTCCCAATTATCATGATATTTTATATAGTAGAAACGAAATGCGTCAATTTTTAAAGTTATTACGTATGTTGGAGTGATCAAGTGAATGCGTTTTTATTTGTAGGTTAAGAGATGATTGGAAGATAATTAATTACTTTCAAATTTTATATTCTCTATTCCTTTATTGAATCATATTTCAAATACAGAGGAGAATGATAATCAAATATAAGTATATAATGATAAGGTGGAATAATTGTTTATTTAACAGAATACTGTATATCCAGATTTTAAATTATTATTTTTATATGTATTCAAATATTTACTAATAAATTGATACACCCTATATAATATGAGATATTATATAAATCTTACCCCAAAAAATTATTTTCACTAATTTACATGAACAAAAAAAAAGACGTTGTTTTTTAAGATATACATCAAAAAGTATTCAGATTATCTCCAACCTTTATCAAAACCATTCGCCCAACCGTTATTTATAGCGCGAGGACTAGACATTAATTCAGGATCAAAGAAATCAGGTATACGCATATAACCTTCAAATCCTAATTCATCCAAACCCTCTTCATTTGTTTTTATGGCACGTATTGTTTGTGACACTTCAAATGATGAATCCTATAAAAATGCGATAAAAAAAAAATAAACTCAATAAAAATTGTTGAATATCGTTCCTTAATGAAACATATTACGAACCACCTACGTTAAGGAAGGACGTCGATTCTTTAGATATTTTTAATTTTGATCTATTAAGTTTTGCTTTTATAACTTCGTCAAAATGTTTTATACCAAAATCAAGATCATCACTTTTCTTCATCACTCTTTCAGCAATAAATTGTGAAAATGATTGAGAATCCAACAAATTTGATAAAAATGGCTAAAGGGTACAAAAAAAAAAAAATAATAATTTTTTTTAAGTATTTTGTTTTAAAAAAAAAAATCCTCGTTTTTTTTTAAAGAAAAAAATTACCTTGGAACACTTTTCAACAGATTTTAAGAATAGATCTTTTTTAAAGAATTCATTGGTATCTCCAGCAACACCAAATCCATCCTCAAATATATCTCCTATACCACTATCTCTCGTATTATCATCATTATTTAAAAGAAAATAACGATAATTGCTTAATAAAGAAGCAAACACTCTTAAGAAGGCATCTAATACTTTTGATTCATCAAAGCAAGCAGGTATACAAGGATAACAAATATCATTCAAACATTCTTCATGTATCATCATAGAACAACCATCGCATTTATACACAAAATTAACACCAAGACTGTTTCTACATATTCCACAAGCCAAACCTTCCATCATCCAAATACCATTTTTTTGGTCATTCGCTTCATTATCAAATGGTGCTAATACCATCGAATGTCCTTCTTTTAATATGTAATCTTTTTCGGAAGTATTTTTCAGTGGTGAGAAATCCGCATTTGTCGAATGCATAGTACTTGGTACATCATCAAATAATGAATCCGAAAACAGGGTTGAGTCAGGAGATGCGGGTGGAGTTATTACAAAATTAAAATTAATAGTCGAACGTATACGTAAATCATTCCCACGTGACATGGTATTACGATTGAATACGTTATTATTTCTTAAAGATACGCTACCGCTACTATTTCTTGACAACGCTTTATTCCTCAGAGTCTATGACGGAAAGAAAAATTATGAACTTTTAATTTTTAAGAATAACGAATAAACCAATTATTAATAATCATATTAATAACGACTTACGATAATAGAATTCCTTGCACCTCCGGTTATAGAACTAAACCTTTGTTTTGTCTTTTTTCCAAATTTATCTAAATTCTTTACACTATCAGCTTTATCAACAAGGCTAGTTGAAGGAGAAACGAAATTTGAAAATCTTCTTTGTACCGTAGCGTGCTGTGGTACATTATGATTACCACCTCCACCCATAGAAAGATTTTGTCTCATATTAAATAATTCGCTAGCGCCACTACTAGTGGCACTATTATCACTATTGCGACTACTATTATTGTCATTAATCTCAGGTATAGGGGCCAAGTGTAACGCTTGATCAGTTTGAGAACAATCACTTTTCATTAATCCATTTTCGGGATCAAAAGAACTATTCATTGAAGGGGCAAGTGGTATCGCTCTCGCTGGCATTCCAATTACCGAACCAATTGTACCACTCTCTGTTTTTACATGTATCTTTGATTTGTTGCTAACTGGAATAAATTTACCATTAGGATATGCTTGTTGAATGAATTTTGGCACTTCTAATGATATGTTACATTGTGTATGCAATGGAGCATACTTTTCTAATGATTTAATCAACTTCCTTCTCTGTCTTGATGGTATTTGAACCGGTGAGTTTGCCAATAATATTGTATTTTTATCCAAGTCAACGATGCAGGCCTATTATGAATAAAATGAAGAACAAATATGAATCAATGAGTGAGCGAACGAGTGAAGAATAAAAATTTGCTTTATATCAATCATTACATACATCTTCGGGCAATAAATCAACACCCTTATATTGTCTCTCGATTCCCATTATATATGGCACTGGTGCTTGTAAACACGTCATTAATCTAGCGGGAAGTACAGGAATAAATACACCTTGCCAATATAATGGATAAATCAAATATGTTATGCTATGAGCGACCAAATGTAACATGTCCGGATATGATGATATTAATAATATTTTTCCTTCTGCTAATGCAACCTCAAATAATTTCACTATATTTTGAATTGAAAGACTTTTAAATAATGGGTACAGTGAAAACTATTCACAAATAATCAAATATATATAATTCATTAGTGAAAGAAATTATTAAAAATTGAAAGGTTAATAGATTGTTGATAACTTACATCCTTCATTATTGGTATTTGGTTGAGCGCAGGTCTCGCACAAAAGAATGTCATATCATTAACTGAAAATGCAACTTGTAATTTCCCAGGTGGTGGCAATGGTATTTCATGTACAAGGTTAATTATATGCCTAAAGAAAAGAAAATAAAAGAATATAAATTCTCTCCTATTTTTCACATCATCTTGCAAACCGCTTTTGCACATACCTTTCAAGGGGAACAAGAGATTTAATTGGATCGTTTCTCTCTTTAAGATCTTCTACCATGGGCATTGCAACAGCACATAGCCAATCTTTTAATACATCATGCCACGGTATATGACTTACTATTCCGATACATTTAGGTATCCATAAACTATTCTTATCTAACACTCCTAATTTAATAGGTTGTAATAGTTCATTATATAATACTAATTTATCTTCTGCATCCTCCCTTTCTTTCCTTAACTCTTCTAATTCTTGGCTATCATCATCTATTCCTTGTAGCAGCAACTTTGCTCTTGTCGTCTCAACTTTTCTTTTTTCCGCTCTTATTTTTTCAAGTAAATGATCTGCATATTCTATCTCACTTTTGGACTTTTAAATTCAGGGGAAGAACGATAAAATGGTCTTAATTCGATATAATTTTTTTTACTGTTCAAATGTTTTCTTACAAGTTGGAACTTACCATGTTTGCTTCTCTCCAGATATTTTTTTGCACGTTTAATTCTTCAAACAAATCTTCGGGAATGGGTTCATAAGTAGTTAAGCATGCTCCATATCGCTGCGATCCATCTTCTTGCGTCATCACCTAATCGCATTCATTAATAATATTTCCGTTAAGGTTAATTGTCATGCAGAAAGCAAAAAAAAAGAAAAGATTGGTTTTATCAGGTTTAAAGGATACAAATCCATGAAAAGTTGTTGAAGGACATTCAACCGACTCTTTTAACATTATGTCATTAGGAAAACAAAACTAGGAGAAAAGGAAAAAGAAGATTATTGATCGTTCTTGTAAATATAAAATAGAAAGATTAATTTAAATAGGCATTTGTAAGTTACCATTGGAACATATGCCGGAAAAGCACCTTCTTCTGGGTAATCATTTTCTGGGTACCTTGATAATAACTTTGGAGCAAATTTTTGCCTTAAAGGGTGTAATAAAGTGTCAGAACAAACATCATTTTGTTTTGATGATGGTTGTTGTGGCACCACATTCTGATATGAATGTCTATTAATATCTAATCCTTCTTGAACTTTGGATGAATCAATGCTTGAAGAAGATACAGAATCGGTCTCTACAAGTGCCTCATCGAAGTTTTTAAATAGTTTTGTTGATAAGGCTATAAATGAATCACGTTGATTTTCATAATGTCCATCATCATTATTATCAACACCGCGTCGCAAAGAATCAGATTTTACAAATTCCTCATCAAAGTTTTTAAATAATTTCGATTTACGTTTACATCCCTCATCATCACCATAATCAATATCATCATCTTCTTCTTTCGAAGTATATAGAAAACTTTTTCCATAATTTGATTCTTTTTTCATTGTTCCTAAAAATTCATCACGATCTTGATCAAATTTTACTATGCTTGCTTTAATGCTTTCAAATAATGTATCTAACAACTTTGTACTCTCTTCATCATCTGCTTCAAAAGATCTATTAACCAAGGTTCTGGTACGAGCGTATGATGAAGATTTGTTACTTTTTGATCTAAACATGTCTGAAGAAAAGGTCTTGTTAGGTTTGTCATTGGGAATGATATCTGCCGATACATCGATCGTCGTTGCTTTTGTCATTGACAGTGAACTTGTTGCGTCGGTATATGAATCCATGCTTGATGAACTTGAAGTTTGATCAATTTCTCTCGCTGTTTTAGCTTGTTCCTCCTCCGTAATAATACTTTTATCTGAGTTCAACCTTTCAATATTCAATTCCTCATCAGCTTCTTTGAATATTTCATTTTCGTCATCTGATGAATCTTGCTTTTCAGGATTAATTTGAAAATCTGTTGGTAACCCTGCCAAAAATACATAATCAACAAATCTTTTATCCATGGATTTACTATTACTTAACATCTTTAAAACTAATAACTTTTTTCGAAAAATTATTTAGTTAGGCGGTCTTGAAAGTAAAAAAAAAAAAAGGTGAAACTAAAATAAATTATGAAAAAAAGGGATTTTTTTTTTTTAAAAAAAGAAAAAAAAAAAAGGGATTGATTTTTTTTTTTTTAAAAAAAAAAAAAAAAAAAGAAAAGAAAACTTTAATTAGAAAAAATTTATGTAAATGATTATTACTATTATTATTATTATTATTATTATTAAATTTCGAACTTTAATTTATTGAAATTCTATAAAAAGAATCCCGGTTCAAAAAAAATAAATAAATCAAATCATATCAAATGTAAGGTTTGATTTCCATCGAGAAAGTCTATATTTTTAAATTATTTATTTATTTTTTTTTTTTGTGCGTGTGTGTGTGTGTGTGTAATAAATACTTTTGGTAATTTATTATTTTTCTCGTTTGATATATAATGATTTTAAATGTAAAGTACAATAAGTGCGAATTAAGAAAAAGTATATGTGAATATGAAACAAATTTAAAAACGAAAAAAAATTTGTTAGAAATCTTTGCAAAAGGGTATTCTTTGTATTATAAAAAAAGTGCGAGGGAAAAATGAAAAGGTAATGAAATAATAATTAAAAATTTATAAAAAGAGAAGACCGACCTGTCACATCATGAGCATTATCAACCATAATCATGTGTTAGATATACAACTTTATCTGTCATTTCTTTATTTATTTTAATTCTTACTCTTTTTTAAAGTAAAAATACTGAAAACATTGTTCTTTCTATATTCATAAATGTAACTTAATAATTACTGTCAGCCTCGTGGCGTAACACATGATGTATTGATGAGCAAATCCAAAATTATTTAAGGAATTTAGTTGGTTCCTTCAATGTGGTGTTGCTGCGTCTCATGTCATGGTTTTGGAATCGTGAAACATTGAGGTTCCTAGTTGGTTAGCAATAATCAAAAAGGCGGTGGGATTTTTTTTTTTTTTTTTTTTTTTTTTTTTTTTTTTGATGTTTGAATGTTCGTTTTTAGGAACGAATATCTTTGAAACGCTACAATCATTAATGTTAATATTACATCGTCGAGGATTCACGTTGCATTTAATGATCAAAATTAACGTTATAATAAGTGATCAGAAGGGATGTGCATTGAGTTATCTATCACATTCTCAATTGCCAAGAGAGGACATTTTTATAGCAAGTAACTAAAATTTTTTGATGATAAAAAATTATCAAAGGGTTCAAAAAAAAAATGATTATATTTATTTTTATTTATGTGCAGTATGCAAAGATTAGGTATATGCAGTATAGATTATTCTAAAACTCTAAAAACGTGCATCTCGGTTTATTCCAAAATGACTTTTTAATTCACCATTTTAAGAAAAAAGCAATTTAATTATTAATTATATTCAAGTTTTTTTTTTTTTACAGCAAAGATCCAACGGAAATTCATGACAATTTGGAATTTCCGTGATGTTCTGCGATCTAACGAGATATGAACACTTGAAATTATCCTTGCTTTATATATTCTTTTCAATATTACATAGTTGTACGAAATAATCATTGGGAGTGATTTCTCTTTGTTTGATCTCGGCACATAATAAGGCATTTGTTTTGAAGATTAATGGAACTTGTGATTTTTGTTGGGGGCCATTTTAGTACCTTTCAATAAAGAAATGATATATATTTCCTCAATAAAATTTTTGTGTCTCGTTGTGATAATTTGGCATTTCCATTTTAAGGATTCTTTTCCTAAAGCGTGGGTTTTACACTTAAATACTCGATTTAAAACGAAAGTTCTATCATGAATAACGATGAGATTGGATTTTTGTTTCGCAAGAAATATATGGGAAATAAGTTCGCATTTAAGGAAATTTCCATTAAACACAATAGCTTATCTAGGTTACAAAGAAATGATTGCAGAAGAATATAAATGCACACGGAAGTCTTTTTTTTCTGCTAATTTTCTCGCTTTCTTTTTTTTTTTTTTTACATTCTTTCATTCACTCATCTCACCCATCCACCCACCATCCACACATTCATTCCCTCCCTCTTCACCCCACACATTCCTTCGCCGGTTTTCTAGAAAGAGAAGTTGACCCTTTTCAAGAACATACTTTCTTTTTTAAAAAGTATAAACGTTTAAACAATTCTTCAAGATGAAATACCCCATGACTTTATTTCTGGGAGTGAGCCTTTTACTTTTCGCCGTCGTGACAGAAGCAAACCTATACCCAATAGTAAACCAACAGACGGTTTGTTCTCCAAAAAAACCTTGTACAGTTAACTGGGTAGATGATGGCATCTCCCCATCGTTATTGGAATTATCAAATGTTAACGTTAAACTAATGACGGGTCCGAATAATAATCAGATTGAAGTTATGGATTTAGGTTCATTTCCTCCAGCAAAGGGTAAGGTCGTTTATAAGATCCCGGCCAAATTGGGACCAGCCGGAAAGTATTATTTTTACAAATTCATTGCTGGCACCGTTCAAGTTTGGTCCACTAGGTTTACCATTAAAGACATAAATGGCAAAATTGCAGGGTTTGATCCTGAAACTGTTAATGCTCAAGGTGAAACGATAGCACCCAAGGGTAAAGTTAATAATAATGTTGGAACAATGAATAATTCCACCGAAACAAAACCATCTGAACCATTAGCTGAAACTAACGCTGCTTTACCTACAAACGACTTAAATGTTGTGGGATTATCCATGATTGCCATGGCAACCGTTTCTTACCTTTGCTATTAACGATTCAAACGAAAGAATAATTTTTAATATAATAATCTTAATATAATATACATACTTAACGCTTGGCTGGTTCAAGCTGCGAGTAAACACACGCACTCAACACTGCACACTCACACATACACACAAAAAAAGAACGTAATTTTAATTGGTTGTATCTTGTTTTTTTTGAAATAAATAAAATTTTATCGATTTTGGATTGTTAAATCCTCGTTTTGTGCCATAGGATGAACTATAATTATTACTTGATTAGACATTTAAAAAATTAGTCAGACTTGCATGACCAAACGGGTCAATAAAGCGCGAGATTCCACTAATTCGAATTGTTCTAAAAAGAATTCCAATAAATAAAATCTATTCTTAACTGGATTAGAGATATCGGGGTTTAACGGATAAGTCGGATCGATATCCGAAAAAGACAATAAATAAACTAATTAAAAGGATTTCTTCAATTAACCTATTTTTTTTTTTGACGAAGCAATAATTTCTTGCATATTTATTTGTATTACTAACTAATAACTGTTTATATCCACAATGGTCATTTGGTTGCGATCGACGATCGTCTTTTAAATTTTATACAAGTAATGAGGATTTAATATAATCAGAATGGGAGGTACTCCCAAGTTGCTTTTTAGACCATGTAGAAAGAGATAAATCGATTTTTTTTTTTTCAAATTTAAAAAATGTAAACTTTTATTTATGATTAGCTTTTAACCTCTCAAGTCTTAATAATGATCCGCAATAAAATTTTAAATGTAGGTAAATTCGAATTCATCCTGTTCGACATTATTGCGCAGCTAATAATATTAAAATAATTTTTTTTTGTCCTTTAATTGTTATAACTTTTTCCGGAATGAAAATTTCGAATCATATTCATCCAGGAATTTGATTCCAATGCTTGCTTCAATGAATTTGGCAAATAAAGACCGCTCTAGATTTATTGTCTCCAGAGTAAAATAACATCAATCATTTTTTTTATACATGGAAATCTTTTCCAAAATTTACATGCTTCCAAGTTTCCTTTGTGCTAATATTACTATGAAGTTCCGAGCGGTCAATTTCAAAAATCTGTTTCATGTTAGAATATAAAAATTTCAATATACAATATTTGAATACCTCAAGATAAACTAATAAGAATTATTTAAATATTTACACAATCATAGGGGATAATGATTAGTATGACGCCCCGTGTCCATCTTTTTTTTTTCTTTTTTTTTGATAACAAAGAGAAAAACGATAAATAATTTTCTAATAAAAATAATTCTTTAAAATTAAATTAGGGAAACAATTCTGATCCCCCCTCGTGAGGATTACCTTTAGGCTTCATAGTCACAGAAAACAAACAGTTTGCTTGCATAATATGCCGCTGGCACGTGTGGTTCGACTTTTGCATGCAGATATATTATGAAAATTATAATAATTTGTATTTATATTTTTAAATCGAGCAAAACTTGTGGAATGAGAAATTAGCACAATCAGTAGTGCGATGATATTTATTTTTAATTTTAATTTATTTTTAGATATATTAAATTAAAATCGGCAGACGCGCATACACTGATAGCAAGCCAAAAGTGATCGTCCGTAAATCAATGTGAAAGTGAACGAACATGGAAATGGGATCATGATACAATTTGATCGTAAATCTCAAATTAATAAACAGATAAAAAAACAATTACATGCCTTTTTCGAACTTAACTCTTGAGGAAATATGCGCATACAACATATTGTATATTTTTATTCTTTCTTTTTTTTTTGATGTGATATCTTCTTAATCATCAAATACTTTCAGACCCATCGCATCTCAGTTTCCATAAGATACATTTAACTATAAAGGCATATAGTTCGAATGCTTGGAAAGATCAAATTATTTCTGTCAAAGTCGCATGGAACAGGATTTTTATTCATCAGGCTACGTTCGATTAATTAGTCAAGTCAAAAAAGAAACTCTACAAGGATGAAATCGATGAGAATTGCCACATAAAGGATCTGATCGGACGGTAAGCTATTTTAATTTATATATCTATATTCTCACAACTTATTTATGTATTTTATAAATATATTTTAGAATTTATAATATTAAAGATATAAATAATAATTTTTTATTAAAAGAAATATTTTCTGTATCTTGATTTATCACTATTGTAACTAAATATTTTTAATTTCGTATTCTTGAACCTAAAATATTTTAGAAGACGTTAAATGATCTAGTATTTTGGAAGATGAGGCCATAATCATACCATCACACCATACAA